GCTATGGTGAGCTTGAATGCATTTCTTGCCTCAAGCCTATTAATGGGAGTTATCCCTTCTCCAAAATGAATTGGAAATAACTTTGCATATATTACTGCTACAGGATAATCGGCTGAATGTAACAGAAGAACTAACATCTAATAACAGGACAAGAATTCTGAATGTCCAGTCAAGGCTTACAGATGCCAAACACATTAGTTGGAGAGCAGTGCTGAACAACAACAACCTCTATATAGAAATTCCCAGTGGTGCTCTGCCTGAAGGGAGCAAAGACAGGTAGGTAGAATAAAATGCAGCTGCGGTTTCACTTGCCTCCTTCTTGAAGGCCTATCAGGGTGGAGTAACACAGTACTGTTGATGTTCTCTTCCATTGTTCTGAAAGCTGAAGTCTAATTACGGCGCTTGATGCGCTCTTGTCAGAGGCTGCAACTAAGTGATGCTGGTTTGAGGTTGGCTTCTACCTGTTTTGTCAGGCAGAACGACCCACAAGGTCTGTGATTTCAAGCTGTGTTCCCAGGTACTGGGTGGCTACTTTTATCCACTGAAAACACCAGCCTGGTTCCGAGTCTGTCACTGCAGTTCTCCCTTCAGCTGCAACAGAAAAGCATGTTTTTGTGTTACTGAAGGCCTAGATTTCTGCCTCAAGTTAAACCTAGGGCTCAGGGATTTCCTGTTGGTGTGAGTCTCCAAGCACTAGCCTCCCGAGCCTATGAGCTCACGTGCAGATTGGCTCACAGGGCCTTGCTGACTATCTCTGAAGGAAATGTGTGCTCATGGGCATTGAACACCTTGTATTTGTCTTGTAGTTTTGCAGTTCTTCTAGAGTTTGCTGAAGAACAGCTTCGAGTTGATCATGTGTTCATTTGTTTCCACAAGAACAGAGATGATAGAGGTAGGTGTTAACTCATAGCGCTGTCTCTAGAGATGTGAACGCAGTATTTGAAGTTGGTTTTGGTGGATGCTTTAACTGTTGTATAGTATCAAATGGATGAAACTTGTTTTCTGCTTTTTTTTTTCTAGCTGCATTGCTCCGTACTTTCAGCTTTTTGGGCTTTGAGATTGTGAGACCAGGGCATCCCCTTGTCCCCAAGAGACCAGATGCTTGCTTCATGGCCTACACGTTTGAGAGAGACTCATCAGAAGAAGAATAGATTGCAATGTTTGCCTCTTAGAGCTTTCTTGTTGTCTATAAAGATGATTCTGTAGAAATTTTGTCAACATCTATTACAGTATATATAGCTGTGTATGAAACATTGTGACCAACTGCTCTGGTGGTGAGATGTTGAAAATTTCAGACTCCACATCTTTTTCTGGATTTGTGCGCATGTTGTGGTTGTGCAAATAAATGCTCCCTCCAAATTAGCAGTATATTTCTTGAAGTTTAATATTGTGTTTGTGATACTGAAGTATTTGCTTTAATTCTAAATAAAAATTTATATTTTACTTTTTATTGCTGGTTTAAGCTGTTTAAGACTTGCACTCTGAAGAGCTGGCTCTGGAACTGCCCCAGCCATTAAAGCTGCAGGTATGGAAAGGCGTTCATTCTTTGCTTGACTGGAACTCATGGCTACGATCTACCAGGACTCGAAATAATCTAGCAATCCTGTAAAAGCCTGCTTTCAGTGAAATAATCAGCAGGTTGCCCATTTCCACTGGTAATTAAGATCCCTGCTCTATCAGTGTTTCGTAGGATACTTCAGGGGATGTTAGTTGGAGAGCCACCAGTGAGGTGCTGAGCAGCACAGCTTGCTTGAGCTTTGAGTGAGTATCAAATCTGCAGCTTCCATACCTGGCGTCTCAATGTTACCGGTAACAGTGGAGTCGACCGCCAGCGTGTGTTAAGCACGCAGGATGGCTTGACGAGTTCTTTGGCCGTGATCTAGGAAGACTTGTGGTGCTTCTATAGCTAAATATTGTCACTGAGGCTGGGTGGCCCCTGAACAGGAGCTACAGCTCTCCTGGGGAGACGGATTGGGGCTGAAGTGTAAGGAGAAGGGGCCATTGTCAAGTGGTGCCTGTTGCTGGGGTCCTCGGACATCTGTTAGCATTTAGGATACAGAACAGAAGGGAAAATGGCCGCTTGTGTAGCGCTAGAATTAACAGAACTTGTGCTGAGGTTACTAGAGAGAAGTCTCCAAAGGGCTGTGCTTTAAAGCGTTGTATTTCAATTTTTTTTCAGTACTTAACACTTGTAGCTTTGGAGGCTTGTTCGGCACCATTTCAGCTGATTAATCTTTCCTCTATAAAACCTCGGAGCAGTGAATCCCTGGGGTGGGTTATTTTACCGGGTTGTTACGCTGTGAGTCGGTGTAAATAGAGGCGCGTGACCTTTGTGAGTGTGCGTGGGCTCTGCCAGGGGCCTGACACCCCTGCTGAGCTTGGCTTTAGGGACTCTGCGCGTTGTGAAATGTTGTATGCGGGTGAAGGGTGCCTAAGGATCACCCCACAGGTCATCCCTAGGCACGTGTTCTGGGCTAAGCAATACTGGAATCGCGTGGAATACACCAAAATGTAATCCCTGAAATTCCCTTCTCAGAGATACAGCGGGGAGCAGATCCTGTAGTGGGATCTGCAGCACGAAGTAACCCAGGGGGATAGCACCGTGTTCCCAGAGAGCCTGTTGTTAAATTAGCAACACAGTGAAAGGTGGATGTTCTTGATGGTCTGTTTAATTGGCTTCAGATATTTCTATCGGCCTCTCGCTAATGCCGCCCCAACTTGCTCTGCTCCTTGGGTCCCGGGGTACGGCACGTAGCACAGCCGTCACCTCTGCTGGGACCAAGGCTCCTGGCTGCGCTGCAGTCGAGTGAATGCGAGAGGTCTCCTTCCCACAGGTCTCTTGCCAATTTTTTTTTGTGGCCCTACAATCGTGCTCTTCCTGTGGGTTTTTTTGGAAAGCTGTGAACTTGCTGTTCTCCGTGTGCCAAAGGCCAGCAAAGAAGAGGTGGGCATGACTGGGGAGAGGGTGTTCCTCCTTTACTCAACAGGCTGGCAAAGGGCTGAAGTTCATAAACTGGTTCTCTAGAGAAATTCTCGTTTTTGTCTGCGCTGCTGCACCTATGCTGCGGTCATCTTTCAGCAGGGATGTGCGAGTGTGGAGGTGTACATGGTCCTGCACCGAAGGCCGTGGTCCCCTGTAGACGTTTTGCTGACCTTGGGTGCTCCAAGCTGCTCCTGGCAGAAGGGGAAGGGGTCACCCAAGGTGGAAAACAGGAACAGGGGCGCAGGGGGTGCTCGGAGGTGCTGGCCTGGGGCTGGGGTGGGGGCCTGCAGGCGCTGGCAGAAGCAGATTTTGTCTTTGTTTTTCCAGGATCAGATGCCCAAGGTGGCTTTGGGCAAGCTGCTGCCGTGCCACGGGCTTTACTGCCATCTTGTAGCCACACAAGATACTACAGGAGAGGTTGGGGCTCACCCAGGACAAACCCCTCCTGCATGTTTTTGGCCCAAAAGCCCATACTGAAATTTGAACATTTCTGTGGACCAGCTGTGCTTGGGTGGCGACCATGTCGGGGTTTGTGTGGCCGGGGAGCTTCTTCGGTCCCCCTTTGCTCCCCCAGCCTTGGCAGGGAGGCTGCGCTGCCGGGATTGAGTGCTGCTCTGGGAGGGAATGGTCCCCCACCGTGCATGGAGCCTCGCGCAGAGGGGCTGTGGTCTTGGCTGGGTCTTTGGCCCTGCTGCAGCCCAGATGATGAGGCTGCTGCCTGCCCACGCTCAGCGGGCAGGGCAGGAGGCAGAAACCCACCGACGAGGGGAGCTGGAAGCATGCTGCTCTTCGGTTTCATCTTGGGGGGTCAGGTCCCAGCTCCGGTTTACCAGGGTTTTTTTTGAGCTCAGGGACTCCTAGGAGGGCTCCTCCCTGACCCAGCTGTGCCACCAGCTTCAGTGACTCCTGGTGTGCCACTGCCCACGTCCGTGGGCACGCAGGGCCTGCCCCAGCGGTAGCTGTGGGGAAGCCCGGGAAGGTCCGTCCTGCTGTGTGCACAACCCACAGAGGCTGCTCTTGCTGCTGTTAGGTGATAGCCGTGAGTGGATTAATAATTAATTAATTAATAATAATATAAATGACCTGAGCAGGGCCTTGCACGGCATTCCACTGTGATGGCCACTGGGGCATCCGCGTGGGTTTGGGGACCAGGGCGCAGATCCCACGTGGTGCTGCGTGTTTTATACCGAGCAGCAGATGCAACGGCCCTGCCTTGGTGCAGCCGGAGACGGACCCTGCAGCCCGGTCCCCGGGCGCAGCAGCCATAAACTGACCCGAGCTATTTACTAGACGCCATTGAGGCTGTTGTGGCTAATCACCGCCGGGCAGTGAAGTTTGGCTTTGTGTTTCTCCCTGGATACATCACCGGGGTGTATAATGCTGTCAAAGAAGCACATAAAGGACCAGTATTTAAGAGGCTCAGCTCTGGGTTTTATTGAAGCTGTGTGGCTTGTTGTATTTCCCCCTTTAAAATGTCATTTATCTTTGTGACTATGCCACAAACTGTTTCGAAAAAGAGCAGGCTGTATGAGGTATTGTGCTTCTCCTTTGCTAACGGTGCATTAAGGTGAGCAGTAATGTGTGGCTTTGCATTGTTACTTAAAACAGCGAAAGCCTCCTGGCCGCGGGAGGAGTCTGAGGGGGTTCTGTGCAAAGTCTCAGTCCTGTAAACTTTACTCGGGATAATCAGCCGCTAAATTGGCGCGTGATCCTGGGGCTTTCATCCAGCCATCTTTCCTGAGATACTCCGATAAACTGGAGTCACGGCATCAAACAAAAATCGCCTGAGGGCGTAAAAATGCACCCTGCGTTGTGGGAGCCACGGGTGGGAGGTTGGTCCCAGCTTCGTCATTCATGTGCTGTGGGGGCAGCGGGGTTCGGGTTTGCAAACAGAGTTTCCCCAGCCAGGACCTGCTTGGGTTCCTTGCGGGAGACGGCAGCTGGTAGATTTGGGCAGGTCCCCATGGGCTCTTGGCTTTGGGGAGACTTTTTGGGTGGGCTGAACTTCAGGTTGCCTTTAGGGAGTGTAGAGAGCCTGGGTGACTTGGTAGAGCGTGTGTTCGGTGACCTCCTTGAAGTACTGGCAGCACAGCCACTCCTCAAGGCTGGGGCTCGCCCCTGCCCCAGCCGAATTCTCCGCAAACTTCAGGAGCAGCAGAGCCCTCTTCACCTCCACCCAGCTCCGGAGCAGGGTGAGGGTCTTCTTGCTCCTGGCAAAGAGCTCCTGGCGAGGCCCCCAGAGAAGGACCTGCAGGATGCTCCTTGCCTGCTCAACAGAGACCCTCTTGCAGGGATCTCTGTGGAGAAGCAGCATGGCCAGACGCTTGAGTCCCGTGGAGTAGATGGACAGGGAGGGGATTTCAGGAAGTCTGTTGCTTCTGAACCCCAAGGTGTTTTCCAGAGAGATATCCACATGCAAGATCTGATAGATCAGCATGCCTACATTCAGCTCATCTGCTACCGGGGAGGGTGGTGCAGTAAGCCCCTCTGTCCAGTCCTGCTCTTGGCTGGTAGAACAAGGTCTTCGCTTGTCTTTAACCTTGAAGAAGCTGCTGATGAGCAGCCTTGGAAGGGACAGGGATGCCTCCTTGCCTTGCTGGCTCCGAGGAGGACACGGGCACTGCACCAGCAGCAGGTTCTCAGGGCAGAGGTCCCCCTGCCCCACGTTCTGCACCCGGAGGTGCTCCAGCCCCATGCACACCTGCAGGAGGAGGAGGCAAGCCAGGCGTTCGTAGTGCCCGGGGCTGGTCCTGTGCAAACCACGGGATCCCTTCACAAAGCCCGCCAGGGTCTGGTAGGGAACCTCAGGAGAAATAAGGACCTGCAGGATAGGGCGGGTGGCAAGACGGGCTGGCTCCTCTCCAGAACGGGACTGACTCTGCTCCCCAGGGATTCCCGGGAGCACCAGCTCCCAAGGGAGGCGGTCGGTGAAGCGGCCGATCAGGCGCTGGATGCTGCAGTGTGCCCCAAGGGAGCTCTGCACCCCCAGGCTGGCGCAGCCCGGCTTAGGGACCTGCAAGGAGAGACAGGGCATGGCCAGCTGCGTGAGGACGGAGCCACGGAGTGCCTTGTCCTGGGCCAGGCCACTGCCTCAGCTCAGGGCCACCAGCTCTGGTCCAACCCACGCATGGTGCTGGGCTTCCCCCGCACCCTCCGAACCCACTGGTGCCTGCTTTAACGGCTTTGAGCAAGAAATGGGATTGGGGGGGAGGTGTAACACCCAGGCGAGCCACAAAGCTGCTTTGATGGGTCTCATCCTGCACTGCCTGAGAAGCCAGCTCTGCTCCAGCCTCTACTTTGCGTCCGCTGGCCCCTCAAGACCACTCGCCAGGGCATCTTCCCCAGCGGTGCTGTTCTCCTTGACGTGTCCTTTGGACCCGTGGGAGCTGTCGCCCCGGCCTCCCCGGCCCACGCCAGCAGCGCTGCCTCATTTAGCAAATGCAGAAGTAGGTGCAGGAAGGGGAACTGCCTGCGTCACGGAGGTCAGTGGAAAAGCCAACGCTCCCGGTTCATGCTTGCCTGCAGCACCACAGCCCCCTGTGCCCTGGAAGCCAGCTCCCCCTGTGCTGCCCGAGGCATTTTCCCCAATTCCCTGCTTACCTTGGCTGCAAACACCAGCTGGGTTTGTTCAAAAGTGAAGCCCACCCGGAAATACCAGGCGTCCCTGCTTTCACAGCACGGCTCCCAGTCCAGGATGCTGAGCGCTGCCCAGCTCTTCCCCGCCAGCTCTGCCTCCAGCAGCTGCTGCCACTCCCCCAGCCCCACAAGCTCCTCCTGGATGCGAGCCGAGAGCCGGGCCAGGGCGGCCGCCTGGCACCCCAACACCACCCCGCACACCCCGGCCGGGCCCTCCAGGGGCTGCAGGAGCTGCCCCAGCTCCCTGTCCACCATTCCGAATGTCAGCTCCGCTGGGCTGGGTGATGGGGCTTTTTGCGGGCTGCTCCGGGCCACCGGTTCCCCCAGGCTTTGGGACTTTGTCAGGGGCTTCTTGGGTCCCCAGGAGGGTCTGTCCCACGGGGGGATGGAGCTGGGAGCCCCCTCCTCGTGCCACGGATGGGCTGGTGGGTTGCCGTAGAGGATGCTGCCGGCCCATGGTGTGGGGTCACCCCAACAGTGCTGGGATGGCCCCTGCTCCGGGAGGGACTCCGCTCGCTGGAGCTGCTTTTTTGGCAATGGGGGAGGCAGGAGGTCCCGGTCAGGCTGAGAGGGGGGTCTCCCGGCTCCTTCCCCTCGGCTAGCCTTGCGGGGGACGAGGTGGGCTCGCAGCTCTCCTGGAGAGGGAGGAACAACATGGCAGC